CATCCCTCCATGATGCTATATAATACATATGGCGGCCGCAGCAGAGTAACTTTAAAATATATAATTATTATTGCCAGCCACCCAAGCAAATGAATCCAGATAGTAGTAGTAGTTGTACCTATACCTATACCTCTGTTTTGTCATCTTCACAGAGCAGGGTATGTATGCATTTTGTATGTATGTATGAACTAGGTGATGATAACAACCTCATCTATTATCAAGCGGAGACCATGCACAGGGCTGCTTGGAGATGTGCACACGTACATATGTATATATGTGGTGCAGACACGTATGCTGTACCTTATATACGTTGATGACGGCACACGTGCACACTCTGTCGTACAAGGATATTATATACCTAGAGAACATACATATGTGGAGGGAGGGACAGGCACAGGGAGACGATGGCGATGGGGACAGCAGATACAGATACAGACGGCGAGACTGAGCGGATGACTGTCGAGGGAGACTGTGGGAGAGTTTTTATTAAATTCTTAGACTGTGTGTGTGTGTATGTATGTATGTATATCCGCGCACTGCACTTGCGATGTATGTTGTTGGTCTGTCTGTTGGGTTGTTGTTGTACATGTCGTACTGTACGTGATACTACTTTATTATTAGTAGTACACATACGCAGCAGCATATGATGGCTCCGCGGGTATGTGGATATTATATGGGACACGCGCATGCACGACGGTGTGGCGATGATGCACCCACGTAGTAGTTGTACATGTTGTTGTTGTTGTTGTTGTTGTGTATGCTCCCTTTTCCCTTCTCGGACACACGATCTCTCTCTATATGCATATCTACACCAACACAATCAAACAATGCTGCTGTATCTACTTGGCACGATTTGGCACATATGTAAAGTAATAATAATAACCCTAACGGTATATATACCAACAACAATCTCGCCGCGTGCACAAGCGTGCCAACCCGCCGATGATCCACCACCACTAAAACTTTACTGTGCCGCCTCTGCTGTGCTCTGTGATGATCAGAATAAGAATAAGGATAAGAATAAGAATAAGAATATGCGATGCGATCGCGCTCGCTGGTGGGGGTCTGGTCGTCAATCCTCGACGTCGTCGTCGTCATCGTTATTAAAATTTTGCCGGGAAGAGTCGCTCAAAGTTTTTACAATTAGTTGTAGTAATAAGAAAAGTAATAAGTATAAGTACGGGAGCGGAAGCGGGCACATAGCATCATCATCATTCATCATCATGTTGTTCTGCGGCACATGCATTATATATATTACTTGAATACTTTTCAACAATAATGAATGTAACAACAACAAAATAATCGGTACACAACAACAACGACGACGGAAACCGCAAAAGAAGAAGCACAGCAGCCGTGCTGCTCAAGTGTGCTTCGTCGTACTATACGTCATTATTATTAGTAATAAAGTGCGCCGCCCCTACTTCTCACCGCTCGCCGACGACAAACAGACAATTGAAATGAGACCGTCACAGCGAGAGCTATCAGGACGTTTTTAAAATTTTATTTATGGAGCAGGCGCGAAATAGAAATCAAGCCGCGAAGAAGCAGAAGACGACATGTGTCTAATGCGCGCGAACCACGGAACAAGACAAACACCAATCAATACACCGCAACAAAAGCACAAAGAAACAGCTTTAGCGTCCTCGAAAGGACACGCCGGCAGTAAGGGCGATTTACAAGAAAGTTGTGGGATATAGACTAACGCTGCCCGATACAAATCATCGGCTACTCCCGCCGGAGTGGTCAGTGAGCCTGTGGTGTGCTAAGACATAGTAATTTGCAGTACGTATGCGCAATGGATGATCGTGGGTTCAAGTCACGGCTCATGCAACAACTGCGGGTGCGATTGGGGTTCTTCGCTGACGCGTTATGTTAATCGACTTGGCCAGCAGCAGCATGAGACGATGTATTAAGCTTTCTTCAACTTTTGTTTTATAAATAATAACAATCATTGTTGAATTGTTGA